GTAGAGCTTCCAGTTGATCAGCAGTTCCGACAGGCACGCACCCACCAGCCCAAAACAGAGTTGAATCTCGAGTCAACAAAATGAACTACTCATCAAAGAAAGCAAGCACCCAATGCCATACCCTGTTGTCGTAGAGCTTCCAGTTGATCAGCAGTTCCGACAGGCACGCACCCACCAGCCCAAACAGAGTTGAATCTCGAGTCAACAAAATGAACTACCTCATCAAAGAAAGCAAGCACCCAATGCATACCCTGTTGTCGTAGAGCTTCCAGTTGATCAGCAGTTCCGACAGGCACGCACCCACCAGCCCAAACAGAGTTGAATCTCGAGTCAACAAAATGAACTACTCATCAAAGAAAGCAAGCACCCAATGCCATACCCTGTTCTCGTAGAGCTTCCAGTTGATCAGCAGTTCCGACAGGCACGCACCCACCAGCCCAAACAGAGTTGAATCTCGAGTCAACAAAATGAACTACTCATCAAAGAAAGCAAGCACCCAATGCCATACCCTGTTCTCGTAGAGCTTCCAGTTGATCAGCAGTTCCGACAGGCACGCACCCACCAGCCCAAACAGAGTTGAATCTCGAGTCAACAAAATGAACTACTCATCAAAGAAAGCAAGCACCCAATGCCATACCCTGTTGTCGTAGAGCGTCCAGTTGATCAGCAGTTCCGACAGGCACGCACCCACCAGCCCAAACAGAGTTGAATCTCGAGTCAACAAAATGAACTACTCATCAAAGAAAGCAAGCACCCAATGCCATACCCTGTTGTCGTAGAGCTTCCTGTTGATCAGCAAGTTCCGACAGGCACGCACCCACCAGCCCAACAGAGTTGAATCTCGAGTCAACAAAATGAACTACTCATCAAAAGAAAAGCAAGCACCCAATGCCATACCCTGTTCTCGTAGAGCTTCCAGTTGATCAGAAGTTCCAACAGGCACGCACCCACCAGCCCAAACAGAGTTGAATCTCGAGTCAACAAAATGAACTACTCATCAAAGAAAGCAAGCACCCAATGCCATACGCTGTTGTCGTAGAGCTTCCAGTTGATCAGCAGTTCCGACAGGCACGCACCCACCAGCCCAAACAGAGTTGAATCTCGAGTCAACAAAATGAACTACTCATCAAAGAAAGCAAGCACCCAATGCCATACGCTGTTGTCGTAGAGCTTCCAGTTGATCAGCAGTTCCGACAGGCACGCACCCACCAGCCCAAACAGAGTTGAATCTCGAGTCAACAAAATGAACTACTCATCAAAGAAAGCAAGCACCCAATGCCATACGCTGTTGTCGTAGAGCTTCCAGTTGATCAGCAGTTCCGACAGGCACGCACCCACCAGCCCAAACAGAGTTGAATCTCGAGTCAACAAAATGAACTACTCATCAAAGAAAGCAAGCACCCAATGCCATACCCTGTTGTCGTAGAGCTTCCAGTTGATCAGCAGTTCCGACAGGCACGCACCCACCAGCCCAAACAGAGTTGAATCTCGAGTCAACAAAATGAACTACTCATCAAAGAAAGCAGCACCCAATGCCATACCCTGTTCTCGTAGAGCTTCCAGTTGATCAGCAGTTCCGACAGGCACGCACCCACCAGCCCAAACAGAGTTGAATCTCGAGTCAACAAAATGAACTACTCATCAAAGAAAGCAAGCACCCAATGCCATACCCTGTTGTCGTAGAGCTTCCAGTTGATCAGCAGTTCCGACAGGCACGCACCCACCAGCCCAAACAGAGTTGAATCTCGAGTCAACAAATGAACTACTCATCAAAGAAAGCAAGCACCCAATGCCATACCCTGTTGTCGTAGAGCTTCCAGTTGATCAGCAGTTCCGACAGGCACGCACCCACCAGCCCAAACAGAGTTGAATCTCGAGTCAACAAAATGAACTACTCATCAAAGAAAGCAAGCACCCAATGCCATACCCTGTTGTCGTAGAGCTTCCAGTTGATCAGCAGTTCCGACAGGCATGCACCCACCAGCCCAAACAGAGTTGAATCTCGAGGTCAACAAAATGAACTACTCATCAAAGAAAGCAAGCACCCAATGCCATACCCTGTTCTCGTAGAGCTTCCAGTTGATCAGCAGTTCCGACAGGCACGCACCCACCAGCCCAAACAGAGTTGATCTCGAGTCAACAAAATGAACTACTCATCAAAGAAAGCAAGCACCCAATGCCATACCCCTGTTGTCGTAGAGCTTCCAGTTGATCAGCAGTTCCGACAGGCACGCACCCACCAGCCCAAACAGAGTTGAATCTCGAGTCAACAAAATGAACTACTCATCAAAGAAAGCAAGCACCCAATGCCATACCCTGTTGTCGTAGAGCTTCCAGTTGATCAGCAAGTTCCGACAGGCACGCACCCCACCCAGCCCAAACAGAGTTGAATCTCGAGTCAACAAAATGAACTACTCATCAAAGAAAGCAAGCACCCATGCCATACCCTGTTCTCGTAGAGCTTCCAGTTGATCAGCAGTTCCGACAGGCACGCACCCACCAGCCCAAACAGAGTTGAATCTCGAGTCAACAAAATGAACTACTCATCAAAGACAAGCAAGCACCCAATGCCATACCCTGTGTCGTAGAGCTTCCAGTTGATCAGCAGTTCCGACAGGCACGCACCCACCAGCCCAAAACAGAGTTGAATCTCGAGTCAACAAAATGAACTACTCATCAAAGAAAGCAAGCACCCAATGCCATACCCTGTTGTCGTAGAGCTTCCAGTTGATCAGCAGTTCCGACAGGCACGCACCCACCAGCCCAAACAGAGTTGAATCTCGAAGTCAACAAAATGAACTACTCATCAAAGAAAGCAAGCACCCAATGCCATACCCTGTTGTCGTAGAGCTTCCAGTTGATCAGCAGTTCCGACAGGCATGCACCCACCAGCCCAAACAGAGTTGAATCTCGAGTCAACAAAATGAACTACTCATCAAAGAAAGCAAGCACCCAATGCCATATACCCTGTTCTCGTAGAGCTTCCAGTTGATCAGCAGTTCCGACAGGCACGCACCCACCAGCCCAAACAGAGTTGAATCTCGAGTCAACAAAATGAACTACTCATCAAAGAAAGCAAGCACCCAATGCCATACCCTGTTGTCGTAGAGCTTCCAGTTGATCAGCAGTTCCGACAGGCACGCACCCACCAGCCCCAAACAGAGTTGAAATCTCGAGTCAACAAAATGAACTACTCATCAAAGAAAGCAAGCACCCAATGCCATACCCTGTTGTCGTAGAGCTTCCAGTTGATCAGCAGTTCCGAACAGGCACGCACCCACCAGCCCCAAACAGAGTTGAATCTCGAGTCAACAAAATGAAACTACTCATCAAAGAAAGCAAGCACCCAATGCCATACCCTGTTGTCGTAGAGCTTCCAGTTGATCAGCAGTTCCGACAGGCACGCACCCACCAGCCCAAACAGAGTTGAATCTCGAGTCAACAAAATGAACTACTCATCAAAGAAAGCAAGCACCCAATGCCATACCCTGTTGTCGTAGAGCTTCCAGTTGATCAGCAGTTCCCGACAGGCATGCACCCACCAGCCCAAACAGAGTTGAATCTCGAGTCAACAAAATGAACTACTCATCAAAGAAAGCAAGCACCCAATGCCATACCCTGTTCTCGTAGAGCTTCCAGTTGATCAGCAGTTCCGACAGGCACGCACCCACCAGCCCAAACAGAGTTGAATCTCGAGTCAACAAAATGAACTACTCATCAAAGAAAGCAAGCACCCAATGCCATACCCTGTTGTCGTAGAGCTTCCAGTTGATCAGCAGTTCCGACAGGCACGCACCCACCAGCCCAAACAGAGTTGAATCTCGAGTCAACAAAATGAACTACTCATCAAAGAAAGCAAGCACCCAATGCCATACCCTGTTGTCGTAGAGCTTCCAGTTGATCAGCAGTTCCGACAGGCACGCACCCACCAGCCCAAACAGAGTTGAATCTCGAGTCAACAAAATGAACTACTCATCAAAGAAAGCAAGCACCCAATGCCATACCCTGTTCTCGTAGAGCTTCCAGTTGATCAGAAGTTCCGACAGGCACGCACCCACCAGCCCAAACAGAGTTGAATCTCGAGTCAACAAAATGAACTACTCATCAAAGAAAGCAAGCACCCAATGCCATACCCTGTTGTCGTAGAGCTTCCAGTTGATCAGCAGTTCCGACAGGCATGCACCCACCAGCCCAAACAGAGTTGAATCTCGAGTCAACAAAATGAACTACTCATCAAAGAAAGCAAGCACCCAATGCCATACCCTGTTCTCGTAGAGCTTCCAGTTGATCAGCAGTTCCGACAGGCACGCACCCACCAGCCCAAACAGAGTTGAATCTCGAGTCAACAAAATGAACTACTCATCAAAGAAAGCAAGCACCCAATGCCATACCCTGTTGTCGTAGAGCTTCCAGTTGATCAGCAGTTCCGACAGGCACGCACCCACCAGCCCAAACAGAGTTGAATCTCGAGTCAACAAAATGAACTACTCATCAAAGAAAGCAAGCACCCAATGCCATACCCTGTTGTCGTAGAGCTTCCAGTTGATCAGCAGTTCCGACAGGCATGCACCCACCAGCCCAAACAGAGTTGAATCTCGAGTCAACAAAATGAACTACTCATCAAAGAAAGCAAGCACCCAATGCCATACCCTGTTGTCGTAGAGCTTCCAGTTGATCAGCAGTTCCGACAGGCACGCACCCACCAGCCCAAACAGAGTTGAATCTCGAGTCAACAAAATGAACTACTCATCAAAGAAAGCAAGCACCCAATGCCATACCCTGTTGTCGTAGAGCTTCCAGTTGATCAGCAGTTCCGACAGGCACGCACCCACCAGCCCAAACAGAGTTGAATCTCGAGTCAACAATATGAACTACTCATCAAAGAAAGCAAGCACCCAATGCCATACCCTGTTGTCGTAGAGCTTCCAGTTGATCAGCAGTTCCGACAGGCACGCACCCACCAGCCCAAACAGAGTTGAATCTCGAGTCAACAAAATGAACTACTCATCAAAGAAAGCAAGCACCCAATGCCATACCCTGTTGTCATAGAGCTTCCATTTGATCAGCAGTTCCGACAGGCACGCACCCACCAGCCCAAACAACGCTCCAGATGCACCCACGCTGATCTGAGGGCAGGGAATCAATGTTGATTCCAGGTAAAATCAGAGAATTGAGAAGGGGTGAGGTTGGGTGGGTGGGTGGGTAGAAGGGGGAGAGAAGGGGTGAGGGGGATGAACAAGGAAAACAGGGTGAATGATCCACACAAGCACCTTCTCTGAATTTGATATGAAGCATTCGCTGGCGTCACTTGTAGGAGCAAAATGACTATTGACGCAGGGAGGAGAGGGGCGCATATTACAGAGTCACTGCACTGCGGTGTTTAGGTGGATTTCTCATCTGTTTAAAGTTTTTTCAAGCCATAGCGGGTGGTCGTACCTGTGTGTCGAGAAAGAGGCATGAGAAGACGGCAGCAAAGAACCCACTGAGAAGGTAGATGGCCGTCGGTCGCCCTACCACGGAGAAGCACAGGAGAGTACACGGAGCGGACAGCAGAGGGAGCATGGCGCAAAGGGGCACAGAGTATGCAGCATGGTGAATGTTTGCTGTTACACGAATTGAAGGATCATATGTGCTTCGAGAACCTGAATCTATCCCTCCTCCCCTCCCCGCACCTACGTGCGCACCAAGCCCTCCCCCCATAAATTTCCCCTCAATCCCCTCCTCGCCCGTTGATTCGCACCCGTCCAGGCCCCCCTCTCCCCCCCCCTTCCCCCCGCTTCCCCCCCCCCCTCCCTTCCCCACCCAATTACCTACCTCCACCACACAACATCAGTCCATCCCCTTTCCCCCAACCATCTCGCCTTACGCCATACCACCACACCACCACTACACCGCACCACACCACACCACACCACACCACGCACGAACACAGCCCGAACTCCTTCTCGAGGCGGTTGAGCAGGAAGGCGATGCCGAGGAGGTTACACACGAGATGCACCACGCCGCCGTGTAACCACATGGCCGTTACCAGCCGCCAGCCTTGGTGGTAGTTGGTAACCAGGTTACTGTTCAGCGCGCCCATGTCCTGAAGCCTGGAGGGTTGCGACGACGACGGGAGGTCACACATATGGTGGGGTATGGATGTGACGAAGACATGTTTTACGCGAAATCATTCTTTAGATGACTCAAACGTAGTTGGTAACCAGGTTAGTGTTGAGCGCGCCCATGTTGTGAAGCTTAGAGGGCTGCGACGACGGCAGGTGAGGACGACATCCAGACGGATACGCGACAGACGCGCAATGATCAGCTTCGAAACACCCATTAGAGACGTCTGAGTGATATACTCGAAAGAGCAAAGACCGGGCTAGAGGGGAAGAGGGTGGCGGGGGAGGGGGAAGGGGCGGGGTGGGGGGTTTGTGGGGGAGGAGGGAGAGGAAGGGGTAGGGTGGTAAGTCACAGGTCGCTTACGTTAAGGCGGTTGGACCGAAGAGAGGGTTGATATTAAGCGGCTCGAAGGAGAAGCGACCCAGCCAAGGCAGCACGCAGCTCTGGCCTTGCGGGTGCGGCTTCGACGGGCAATCATTCACCGCCATGGTCACAATAAAGACTACTATGCAGGCGATTAATACGGTCAGCGCCAGCCATGGCACCTTCCTATACCACCGCGGTTTCCGAGAAGGATCCCGAGGGTTTGAAGGTGGAACAACAGGGGGGTACGCTGCTGGGTTGATTCCGGAGGGGTATTCAGGCGGAGGAGGAGGAGGGTACGCGTACGGTACGATCGTACTGCCAGATGCGTACGAGTGGAACTGACCCCCTTGATGATACGCGGAGTGGCTGTCGTCAGCGTACTCGTTATGAGATGACACGATGGCGGGATGGGAAGGAGCGTACGGGTATTCGCCGGAGCGCGAGTGAGCGAGCGGAGCGGAGGGAGTGGAGGAGAGAGAGGAGGAGGAGCGGAGGCTCGTAGACGACGGCATCTCGACGTCGCTCGAATAAGGATCTGAGCCTCCGCGACCTACTATGCGACCCATTGCGAAATAATCCAGACAATGGGTTCTAAGAGAATGAAGCGGACGATAAGCGGATGCTTAACTACGCGGTAATCGATTCTTTAAGATTGTCCTAGAAGTAGGAGGAGCGGCGCGTATAGCAAGTGATTCCGCCAACAAGCGGTCAAGAGAGATGAAAGGAACTGAAGTTAGGGACAGAACCAATCATCGTTAGACCAAAAGCTCAAGCTACCCAATAGCTCACATCAGATCAGAACCAACATTATAGGTCACCTTGAGCTGTTACAGGGTGTCATCTCCCTGACAAAAGGACCGACAAATGGGAATGGGTGCTGTAGCTTGTCCTAGAGAATGCCGAGAAGATTCACCTCCATTGTATTTGTGAACTGTACAAGTTTCCGCCATGCTCCCACAAACCCATACTTTCCGCTCATTTCACAAAGTGCGTTAGCTGAAAGACGGCGGAAAAGAGGCGATTCTGCAGATGTTTCCGCGCGGGCTGGGCTTGAAATGTTTTTGTCTGTAATCCTCCGCCTTGCTTCACCAATGTCAGCTGCAACTTCCGGAGATTCCGCGCAAAAGCTGTCCATTCTTCCGCCAAGGGCTGTGTTTTGTTCCCCTTGGTGGAAAAAGGGAGGCGCAGAGCGGTGCCGTGCGCAGTCACGGCAGTCCCCGCTTCCGCGACCGAGCTGGTCTAGTCCCCCCTCAGCCTTGCGAACGCTTTCTGTGACACCTTGTGCGCATCGCTTCGACCAGTCACTGAATTCCAACACATATGTTCCACACCGACCGACCACCAGCGAGGTGACACAAGCGAACCTGACATCCGCGATCATGTACACGTAACTGACATAATGTAAGTGTTACACTAGGAGGAATAGTTGTACAATAAATAGTGAGACCCTGCACATACAGATATAGAATATGGACATGGATTCAACGGCACTTTCGACGTGTATAAAAACGAGGAACTTCATTCCGAGTACATAAAATAAGATAAATAGTTTAGATGCCCAACTGCGCCCTGCTGTTTGCTACGGGACGTGGAAAATAGCTGACAGGTGACGTGGCACACGTCGGAAATATCTCATGGTTGGGACCAAGCAGATGCGCTTTTCATTGCACTTTTTCACTTTCTTGACACACAAAAGCCGGCGTAGATCTCTCATCCGATACTTTCATGTGACCTGGATGACCTTTTTCGATCGGCCCGCACTGTCCGCGATTGGTGCACAGCTGTTGAGATTTCTTCATCAACGATAACCACCAATCCGCACATCCACTTTCTTTACCTTTTTCTTCCCTCCTCATCGCTTTCTTTCCTCCTCCTGTCACTCTCACCTTCCATTCAGGGATCTCGTTTCCTTCTGATCTTCAAGACATTCCAAAGAGCCCACATCAAACAGTCTGCTCCCTGCAGCAGCACATCAGCGTTTCCGAGGTTCCAATGAGGGTTTCCTACATGGTCTGCAGACAAACCCAGATGAAGCTGTCTTTCCTTTGACTCGCATTAACTTGGCTCTCTTGTTAGCAGTCTTTGCTTGAACGCTTATTGTCGATTGATCGATGCAAAAGGCGTCAAAGTGTGGATTGCTTGCCTTGAATTATTCTTGATTAGGGCTGATCATAGTGTAGTTAATAATCTCTGCACTTAGTCTTTCTTCCGACACTGATCGCTCTCCATTTTTTCAAGGACGTTTCAAAACGAAGCTTTCGCTGGGTTACCAAATTTCAACTCCCTCATCACACCCCATAATACGTCTTTCCGTCGTAACCTCCATTGGTTTTCTCGATGAAGCTCGCCATAACAAGCTTTTCAAATCTTTCCAGTATAAAGCTTTCCCTTCCATAGCTACGCATTCCGCCATGTTTCCTGAAAAGAGAGATCTCTCGTATTTCCTCCCCTTCGGCCCCGCACCGAGCCTGAGCACGCTACCGTCGGACGCGGGATTCGGCGGGAGCCGCGAAGCCGGCGTTACAACCGGCGTTGCCGCCGGTGGTGTTGCCGGCGCAGGCACGAGCTACGGCTTCAGCGGTGCCGGCCCGGCGGGGTTTAACACGGATGCGGCGAACACAGCGGCGTCGCGGCTGTACGCGACGGGAGTGATTGACAGCAGTAACCAGCCAGCGAAAGATAACAACAATCAGACGAACAACAATAACAACAACAGTGCGAGCGTGAGCAGCACGCGGAGAGAGTATGCGTGGCCCGGGACCGTCGCTCATGCGTTCGCCGCCATTGCGCGTGGCCCCGCTGCTAGCCAGGTGCGCTTGCTGGAATCAGCATCAGCTTGCGCTGGTTGTTTCACGAAGTTTGTCCAAACTCCAGTTTCCTGCGTTATTTCACGCGTGCTCTCATACTCGTGTTCTACATCTCCGGTGTCTCCCTGTCCGCGCCGCAGGTGGCGAGTGGCGAGACGTTAGCCGACGCGATAATCGACATTCGCAGGGAGCTGAGTCTCAGCGATGGTAACCCTCGGCTCGCGAAAGGCCTCGCTGAATTCTTCGACGAGGTGAGTTCAACAACCTCGTCTGGTACGCGGGTGTTTTCAAGTCGAATCAGGAATGTGGAAATGTGCATTTGCCAACGTCCCTTCGAGTCTATTCATGTCAACCCTCGCTGCTTGAACGCTATTCTCATCCCTCTCCTCCCTGTCCCCTTAACCCCTCTCGCCCCAAACGTACCTGCAGATTCTCTCCGAGGAGGAATCTCAGGAGTTTTTCTTCTTCACGCTGCCCGGAATGGCCTCGCTCGCTCTCCGTCTCCCGAGCCTCGTCTCCCAGCAGGCTCGGAGCGTGGCTCGGGCAGCCCAAGCCGCAGCGCAATCCGGCAGCAGCGGGGGGAGCGGAAGCGGCGGAAGCGGAAGCGGAAGCGGGAGCGGGGGGAGTGAGAAGTGGCGGAGGGGGACGCAGATGACGCTGCAGCTGCTGAGGCCCGCAGCAGCCGGGGCTTGTGCTTATAACGCAGGAGCTTGCTGCGGCGCTATTGGTGGGCGCGTTCTTCTGCGTGTATCCCACGGCCGGGCGCGCGCAGGAGAGACTACCAGAGATCAACTTCGACCGCCTCTATGGGTGAGTCTCCACCCTCTCACCCCTCTTTCTATCCGCTCTCTCCGTTTGCCCAACCCCTCATCTGTTGCGCTAGCCAAGGGCATATACGAGGAGTCGCCGCAGCAGCAGGAGAAGCTGCGCTGCCTGCTGCATCAATCCTGCCGCGTCCTCTCCCCGTGCCTCAGAGCATTGATTGCCTCAGAATCCCATCGTTCCCCTCCCCATTCCCGTCCTTTCCGAACCTCTCAGCGGCATATACGAGGGCTCGCCGCAACAACAAGAGAAGCTGCGCTGCCTGCTGCACTACTTCCGCCGAGTCGTCTCCTCCATGCCTCAGGGCGCCGTCTCCTACGAGCGCAAGGTGCTGCCGCTCACTGCTGTCACACCCGCCACTGTCACACCCGCTGCTGCCGCCCCGCCGACCCTCCACCCGTTCAACACCCCCGGTACTGACACACCAGGCCACCTAAAGCAACAGCAGCAGCAGCAGCAGCAGGATGTATTGGGTTGGGGTGGGGAGGCAGGGGAGGGTGGAGGGCGGGGAAGTGGGACCATGAGACAAGGCGGAGGTAGTTCGCCGCCCGGAAGCGGTGGGAGTGGTGGGCAGGGTGGGCGGCACGGTAGCGGTAATGGCGGCAGTAAGGGCAGTGGTAACGGCGGCGGTAACGGTAACGGTAACGGTAATGGTAACGGGAACGGTTACGGTAGTGGTTACCACAGTGGTTCCCGAAGCTCGCCCATGCAGAAAAGCAGCTCCAACCGAAGCTCAGGTCCGACAACTGGCTCGGATCCGAGCCTGGGAGGGTCGTGGGGGAAGGGCGGGGAAGGAGGGGGGTTGCGGAGTGGAGGGAGCACCAGGAGCTTCGGGGGGAGCTGGGGGACGCTTCCCCCTCCCCCTGGCGCGGACTTCTGGGGGACAAGGCGGATTCCGCTCTGCGCCCTGGTGGTGAGTGCGAAGGGCGTTGTGGGGGGGGAGGGGAGAGGGTTGTTGGGGGGAGGCGTGCTGGGTGAAGGGGATGTTGGAGATAAGAGGTGTGTTGAGTGGGGGGACAGGTTTGGGTGAGTGAGATAGGATGCATATTTGGGAGGAAAAACAGAAGGCATTTGTGCAGTGCTTCCAATCATATCACACCTGTTGCTTGATGCACTGCTCTTTTTTTGTCACATGGCCTCCCCCTTACCCCTCTTCCACCCGTTCCTCCCTCCCAACACACCCCCCTTCCCCCTCTCTCCCCCATGCACCACCAGGTGCCCATGCACCACCAGGTGCATGAGCGCGGCACAATAGAGGACGACGGCACGGGCTGTCTGTAGGTGGACGACGAAACGCCGCAGCACATATCTTCACTTCACACGCTCCTCCCATTCCTCCCATCTGCCTCCCCCTCTTCAGGTGCACGAGCGCGGCACAATAGAGGACGACGGCACGGGCTGTGTGCAGGTGGACTTCGCCAATGCCTTTGTGGGCGGCGGCACGCTCGGCTCGGGGTGCGCGCAGGAGGAGATTCGTTTCGTCATCTGCCCGGAGCTCATCGTGGGAATGCTTTTCCTGCCCGCCATGGAGAACAACGAGACGATTGAGATCGTGGGGCCCGAGCGGTTCACTAGATACACTGGGTGAGTCAGCAGATACACAGGGTGAGTCAGCAGATACACAGGGTGAGTCAGCAGATACACAGGGTGAGTCAGCAGATACACAGGGTGAGTCAGCCGATACACAGGGTGAGTCAGCAGATACACAGGGTGAGTCAGCAGATACACAGGGTGAGTCAGCAGATACACAGGGTGAGTCAGCAGATACACTGGGTGAGTCAGCAGGTTCTCTGAGTCAGTCAGCAGATACACTGGGTGAGTCAGCGGATACAGCTCGCTGAGCAAAGAAGTTAAGTAGACGAGTCCAATCTATGGAGATTCTATACCCTGGTAACTGAACCCAAGTTTCATACCATCCCTTCTCCCTCCCTCCTCACCATCCCCTCTCACCCCCCAACCCCCCTCTCCCATCTCTCTACCCACCCCCAAAATCATCCTCAGCTACGCAGCAACGTTCAAGTTCGCCGGGGATTTCATCGACACAGCCCCTCGGGATTCCCTAGGCCGCCGCCAGACGCGGATAGTAGCCATGGACGCGCTCTCCCACGCAGCAGACCGCCAATTCCGCAGCTCCTATCTCCTCAGGGAGACCAACAAGGCCTTCTGCGGGTTCCTAGACCATGCCTCTGCCAGGGGTTTCGCCGGCGGGTCGATTCTCGCGAGTAATGACAGTAATAGCCCGGTGTTTTTGGATGGTGCTGCGCAAATGTCACTGTCGAGGGATTTTTTTAGTGGTGAGGGAGGGGTGGGGGGGTCTGTGTCGGGGTTTCGGAGGGGGGAGAGAGGGGGGAGTGGGAGTGAAGGGGAGGGGAGGGGGAGTGGAGGTGAGGAAGGGGGGAGGAGTTTGGGGGAAGGGCGTGGGGGAGAGGAGAGGGGAGCGGGGGGAGGGAACGAAGGGATGATTGTTGATGGGGGCGGGGTGGCGCCGAGAAAGAGCGGAGGAGGGAGGGGGGGAGGGGGGGGGGGGGGAGGCGGGGGCGGGGGAGGGAGAGGAGGAATAAGAAGGTACTTTGAGAGGAGTGGAGGGACGAGGAGAGGGCAGGGGGAGGGTGCATCTGGGGGTTTAATGGGGAATATGGGTACAGGGCGGGGGGAAGGAAGGCAGGGGAGTGGGGAAGGCAGTAAGGAGGGCAGTGGAGAAGGGGAAACAGGAGTGGTGAGGGGAGTGGAACTGAGAAGCGAAATGGGGGAATGCAGACAGGTGGTGATAACAGAGGAAAGGGCAGCGGAAGTGACAATAGCGAAGGGAACCCTGCAGACGCCGCCACAGCTCGCTGCCCGAGTGAAGCAGCGCCTCGGCCTGTCAGCAGCTGTGACAATAACGAGGGGAGGAAAAGCCAGCCAAGCAACAGCGGAAATACGAACAACAGCAGCGGCAACCACAGTAGTGGCAACAACAGCAGCGCCAACAATAGCACTCACATGCAGGGCAGTAGCAGGGCCACTGCAGGCACGAGTTCTGGTTCTGACTCACGGCTCGGGAGAGAAGGGGGAGTGGGCGGGCGAGACTCGAGTGAGAGTGAAAGGGTGGAGGGGGAGGAAGAGGAGAAGAAGAGGAGAGGAGGAGGAGGAGAGGAGGAAGGGGAGGAGGTGCGGGAGGAGGATGGGTTTGTCATGGTGGAGAGGGTGGAGGGAGGCTGGAGGGAGTGCGGGAGGAGTGTGGGGGAAGAGAGAGAGGCGGAGCAACCAGGGGGGGTTGAAGAGGCTGCTGCATGGGTAGGTGGGGTTGTGGTGGGCGGCCATGGGGAGAGGAGGAGATGGAGGTAGAGGGTGAGGCAACCCCAATGGAGGAGGACTATATCGAGGACAAGCCAGTAGACGTTCAGAAGGCTAATGACGACACAGAGATGAAGGAGAAGGAAGTGAGGGCAGAGGGGGAGGACGCACATGACAAGCAGGGTCAATCCGCAAGCCAGGCTTCTGGAGAGTCACCACAGCTGGGCAGCGCCAATAGGGCGTCTGAGCAGACACCGTCCCCATCCCTGCCCTTCGTGCGGACTGATGCTCTCATGACATCAGCAGGAGGGTTGATGACATCAGCAGGAGGGTTGATGCCATCAGCAGGCGTTGCTGTGCCTGCGGGGGCGGTTTGTTTCCCCTCCATCTCCCCCCAGGGCACCGGCACTGGGACAGGGGGAACTGGCGCGGGCACAGGGGGAACTGGCGCGGGGACAGGGGGGAGGACGTGGGGATCAGGGGCAGCCACTGGAGGGGGGAGTGGCGGCGCCATAGGGGGAGGGACGGGGGAACTGGGGGAACAGGGGGAAGGGGAGGTGCAACAGGAAAGGGTGGTGGTGCGGAAGGGGGTGGAGGGAGAGCGGAAGGCAGTGGAAGTGATACCCAAAGCCAGGCGGCAACTGATTCGAGCGGGAGGCATTTGTCTCTTTCTGGGCTGAGGCGGGCGGTGGAGGAGGAGGTGGGTGGGCGGGCAGCGGGGGAGGGGCTTGGGGAGCATGGGGGACA